GCCCTGGTGGCACAGTGGTTAAAGTGCCGGGCTGCCAACTGAAAGCTCAGCAGTTCAAATACCTCAGTTGCTCTGCAGGACAAAGATGTGGCAGTCTGCTTCCGTGATTTTAGCCTTGGAAACCTAGTTCTACACTGTTCTGGATTTGCTTAGTTGGAATCGACTCAACGGCAATGGGGGGTAAATCCAGGCAAACATCATGCCAGTTTGATTTGCTTTGAGGATTCTGCTGCTAGGCTTATCTTTTCCAGAAAAGCCTGTGAGAAACTTCTGTTGGAGAGAAAAGAGCCTTTACAACTCACCACTTTTATTTTCTAAAAAAAATAAAAACATTTGAGGATGGGGTAATGACAGCACCAACAGATCAAGTATGACAATCTTCCCCAAAGAACTCATGTTCTCTAATAATGTGGCAGTCTGCGACAATCAACTCTCAGCAACTCATCCATGTTCCTCAATCCCCATAAAGTATGTCATCCTGGGTGAAGGGGCTAGTTCAGTCAATATGAGTGCCTTCTCTCCGTGTACTAGATGTTTTTGAATTTTTATGAAGCGTTCAGAATGCTATTTTTACGTGAAGAGATGGGTACAAGTGAACTGCTATGATTAGCACCCGACTAAAGTGCAAAACCAAAGTAAGAGATTAGGTTTTATGATCACATACATTTACTTCCTTAGCATAAGGTAAACATAATCTAAGGGCAGGAAGCCAAAAACAAGTCCTGGAGGGCAACCTCATTTGAAAAATAGGAGGAAATTCAAACAGCAAAGTAAACTAGAAGAGGCAGTGAGAGGGAAGAAAATCAGGACATGACAGTCAAAACAAAAATGAGATGCAGCAAAGAGTTCAAGCAAGAGAAGCAGTAAAAAGTGATTTGGCCAGGAGGAAGTTAACAGTGGTTTCCCACAGCAGTTTCTGTGGAATGATAAGGAGAGGCGCCCAATTGCAGGAGGTTAAAGCGGTTTCTGACTGGGCAGGTGATTTCTATTATATAAACGGTGGCTTATACAGAATGAGATACTTAGATCAACAATTTATTTCACGTAGAACATTAAAGAGCCATTATAATTAGATCCACTCACTCATTCATTTTATTCCTTAGCATTTACTGTGCACTTACAAATGCCTTAGTCTACTAAGCTCCACGGGGTAGGGGTAGCTAATAGAAAAGCCATAATTAAATCATAATGGCTTCTCTCTCACAAGCAATTTAGGCTAAGTTTTAAACTGATAACTTAAAAATGAAAGTCTCATTTCCCTGTAGCTGTTTGAGTTTATATGTTCTTTTCTGAGAAATTAGTCTTTTGTTTTCCTTCTTTAATTAAAAAAGAAGATCTAGTTTGCACATCACAGGTAAAGCGTCAACCTATAAAGGTAGAAAGCTTTTTTAAAAAAATCAAATCACCAAAGTATCTTATGTAAGCTGTGAGGAAAAGCAGAGATTGTATTTATACCCTGTGTTAGATTTTTTTTTCCTACAAACAAAATCCCACATGGAATAGTCCAGAGGTACTAAACTTTACTGTTTCACACACACACACACACACACACAGAAAATGCAAACATTGCTTTGTATCTCATAATTTAACAGGTTTGGTTGGCCATTTTCACTGGCAAAGTATCAGCCTGTATTCTGACCTAAACCAAACCCACCACCCTCAAGTCAATTCCAACTCACAGGGACCCTACAGGACAGTGTAGAACTGCCTCATAGATTTTTCAAGGCTGTCTTTACGGAGGCAGACTGCCATATCTGTCTCTCAAAGAGCAAGCTGGTAGATTCCAACAGCTGACCCTCTGGTTAGCAGCCAGGTGCTTTAACCACCATGCCATCAGAGCCCTTTGGATTCTCTCAGGGTCTCAAAGAATATTGTGTAAACTTTGAGGGAAAATAGAAATGGCATTTAAACTTTGTATGCAGTATTTATTTCCACCAGTTTGACACCTGTAACATAAACCAAAAACCCACATGAAATAGGCCAAAGCTATGAAGCTTTCCACATTTTCACATAATATGCCTCCATAGCACAGCTTCTCACAGTGGAGTACTGAGCCACGGTGGAACAAGCAACCTGGTGCCTATAGGGAAGATAACCCACAGGATACATCTGACACATAGAAGATGGACGGGAACTATTTTATATTTAAACATGCAGACATTGTGGAGTAATATGTACAATTCATCATTTTCTTTTTGCCCGATTTTTATGAGAAAACAAAACTTCAAAGGAAATTTTGTTATGAAGCCCACAGGCCACAAAGTGCAATTACAGTGTCTCCATGGAAAGGGCACAGCCCCACCACTTCCAGTGGAAGCTGGTTATGCTTGATTTACCTCACTAGATCTCCTCTCCACAGCTAACTATTCTAATTAGCAACCTATTAGGGACATAAGAACTTTTTGCCACCAGGTGAAACCAAGGTACTCATTACTCTCAGACTTAAGGCTTCCAATTCAGTATGCACATGTCCACATTAGCTACTCCATTTGTACTAAAAAGGAGTTTTATAACTGGCCATCCAAAAAACAAACCTTAAGGGTAGATACGATTTTTTTTCTTTTCTCCATTCCTTATTTTTTTTTCTATAGTTTTTTTTTTATTTTTAATATTGACTTTTACATACTATGTGATAAAGAGATGAGATAGTTCTACTAATAAAGAAACCTGAAACCAAATAAATAATTTCTCACTTTAACTGAAATTTTAACAATTTCCTTACTACCCTGAAGATACAGGTCACATCCATATCCTATTTTTTTTTTTAATTTTAAGAGCTTGTTTTACATTCAACGTAATGTGTACATTTAATTTCATTCCCCATTCATCATGTCCAACCCTAACCCAGTCTCCTCCCCTCCCTACCCTGCAACCCTCCCCCTGCGCCCCTCATACTTATACATTCCTGTTTGTCCTGCATTTCCTCAGTTTGAATGTTGGTCCTCTGGTGTCCCATGGTCTGTTGCTCTAAGGATGTATTACCATTGAGTGTGTGGGTGCAGCATCTTGTGTTGAGTGGTCTGCGTGTACATCTTGTTAACTATTGGGCTGAGAGCCCACCCCTGGAGGGGAGTTTTATTCCAGGTGCAGAATGTATTCCAGGGCCACAGTATTGGGAGTCTCACCAGATTTTATCTGACCAGTAATTCTGGTCATCATTGAGTTTTTGGACATTTCCTATTTCTTAATGCAAACTATACAATCAAAAAGGTCTAATCTTTAGAATGCTAAGCTCGTGCTATTTCATACCATGGAGTGCAACACTTTCACAGGGAATAGTTTTTATAAAAAGGGATATTAATTTTTTTAAAATGAGTCAAGGCCTCAGATTTACCTTTCATATATAAAAACAATACCCCAACTTTCACCCAAATCACAGTAAGAAGTTAAAGAAGTACACCAATTAAAAAAAAAAATTGTACCCAAAGACGGTGGGAGGAAAGAAGACACACTTAGGGGACAATGAACTTCTGTTAAGGGTGAGGGTTAAATATGAACATAAATAGCATTTAATTTTACATGTGAAGGTTGCTGCAATGGCAAACATTTTGGTACCTATACATTTACAATAAAAAAAAATCCCTGAGGTAATACAAATTGAGAATATTGAAAAAAAAAACATATCCCAAGTAGCAATGTGTAGCTTTGCTTTTTCAGTGAAAAACAACCATACCAGACTTTTTAAAAGTTAAACACAATTATTTAAGAGGAAAACAATGTTAAATATTATTTATTGAAAACAGAATTGTGTAAAAAAGACTTTTATTAATCAAGACCACAAAACCAAAACTAAGACTACTAAAGTTGATTAAAGAAATCATATCGACCTGGTAAGGATATAATAGCTAAACCTAATGAAATTAAATTCCTAAGGAAAATGCAGTAATTCCAACATCACTGAAGTAACTAGGTCCTTTCAAATAGGGAAAATATAAACATCAGTACAAACACCTTAATTTGGAGGCAAGTATAAATGTGCTGAAACATGGGTAGTGTCTTTTAATCTTGTGTGTGTTAGGTCAGAGACCATTACGGGGTGGGGGGAGGACCTGCTATCAAGTCAATTCCAAATCATATCAACCACCACTGGGTTTCCGAGGCAGTAAATCTTTACAGAAGGAGATTGCCCTGTCTTCCTTCCACAGAGTGGCTGGTGGGTTTGGGTTTGAGTCACCA